ATGATGCAAATGTATACATTTGACTAGTAGATATACTTAAATAAAATTTGTTGTATTAATATAACTCAACTTCGCTTAAAACCCAAGCACAAGTGTACACTTTTTTGAGTATATTATATTTATTGGACATTTCCGTTATTATTTATACGAAAACTTTGTAATTGCACCAACAAACATTATTATTATCATTATAACTGGGTATGTTGAAGTTAAGAGTTACGCTTGAGTTTTGTGGGGTTGAGATCACCGCCTGGTACAAACTTTTTTAAAAGATACGTATCTAACTGAATCTTTGAACAAAGATGAACAGATGGTACGTAACCATCTCAACTCCCTGACCTTTTGAGACCCATTTCTACGCGTTCGCAGAACATGAACCTGCAGCAGTTGTATTGAGTTTTTTGTACTCCGGATCTGCTCATGATAACAAGACACGTAAACAACAATAATTGAATAATTTATTAACGACATCACCAAAGTTTCAGCTAGTTTTTTGCGAGTCTGAAATACGTCGCTTCTCTGGGAGGCCATAGCATGCAAGTTTGTATAAGAGCACATCCTAAGAGAATGAATAATAATAATAATATTTATTCACTCAATGTACAAAGATAACAAACAATATGAGTAAATAAATATAAAATCAAAACAGGCCCAATAGAAGGCATCGCCTGTACATGGACCAATAAATTTAAGTTGAAACTGTAGAATGCAAATGACAAAAAAGGACAAAAATTAGCTACAGTAGATTATGTATTTAGTTGATGTTCATATTTATGAGTTTATGAATTTCAGTCCTAGATATAGAATGTAGCCACTTTTTTAAATTTCTTTTGAAACAATTTCCGAAACGTAAATCTTTTAAGTCTTTAGGTATAATTTCATAAAATTTAGGCGCTAAATAGAGATATGATCGCTGCATTATAGATTTATGCGGTTGAGGAACTACTGTGCCACGAATTTTGTACCTGGTATAATGATTATGTTTAATTTTTTGGTCGGTGTTTACAAATTTATGGTAGCGAGTGATACTGTGTAAGAAATAAAGCTGTCTTATATCATACATTCGAACATCTGCGTATAATTTTTCAGTGGGATAAAGTTTCGGTTTTTTAAATATTATTTTTAGAATACTTTTTTGAAAAACATCTAAATTATAGATATGTGAGGAACATGCAGCTCCCCATGCTAATATACCATAAGTGAGATGAGGCTCAATTAGCGCATGGTATAATGTTCGAAGATATTTTTCTGTCAATATATTCCCAAGGTATTTAATTTTGTAGGATACAAATCTAACTTTCTTTAAAATATAATTGACATGGATGTCCCATCGTAAGTGAGGATCCAAGACCACTTCAAGGTATTTTATGTTGGGCACTCTATTAATTTGCATTTTTTGATCATTAATATTGAAGGAGAAATTTGTGTAATTTGGCAGATGTCTAGCATAAGATCCAAATGGTAAAAAATGTGTTTTAGAGTAGTTAATGCTTAATTTTCTACTGTTAAACCACCGAATAATTTTGATAAAATCATTTTCAATTACATTTTTCAGATCAGACCAGTCAGTGCTTTCATATAATATTGCAGTATCATCTGCAAAACTAGTTATTTTGCCAACACAATTAATTTGGAAAATATCATTTAAATATATATTGAATAACAGCGGACCTAAGACAGTTCCTTGTGGGACACCACACTTAATATACATTTCTTTACTAAATGATCCTGATATCTGCACAGATTGTGGGCGATTTGACAAATAACTTTCGATCAGTGAGTACGCGTTTCCTCTGAAACCAATTCTCTCCAATGCTTCTAATAATAATTTGTGATTAACTGTGTCGAAAGCTTTCTTTAAATCAACAAAAATGCAGATTGAAGGGATTCTGTTATCAATATTTTGATGTATTTGATTTACAATTTTAGTTATTGCGTCCGATGTAGCCTTCCCTTCTGTAAATCCATATTGATTTTCACTTAAAATTTTGAATTTTGTGAGGTATCGAATCATTCTAGTAGATAAAACTTTTTCAAAAACCTTTGCTACACTGGATATTATTGATATTGGTCTATAGTTGTTAACATCTGTTTTTGTTCCTGATTTATGTATCGGTATTATATTACCTTTTTTTTTAAAATTGAGGGATATATGACATGATTGAATCACAGGAAAGAACGTCAGTCTTTAAATATCATGGTGACGCACCTTCTCAGAATAAGGCCACATAGCACGAATATGGAACAAACAAGAATACTGCTTATCACCATTTATCACTAATAAAATAACTAATATCGAATAAGAACGTTGATAATACCGCGGACAAGGCTACCGTACGCCCTGATCAACACTGAGCAGCCTGATTGGTAATCAGAAGACGACCAGGCATTCACTTGACCCCAATGCAGCATTGTCTTCGAAAAGGTCTTACGCAAAACTATGACACGAGAAGTGCGGCACGTATAACGACGTCTGCATTCCGAACGGGAAAATCTTGTTTTCGAGTTCCGAGATTATGACACTTCTCGCTCTTTAATATTTATGACGGCGGCTGTCCGAACAGGCGAGATTCCAATTCTGTACCCCGGAGCCAGACTAGGTTAAGTCCATTTATGTCAAAAATGAATTCCATGTGTTAAGCTGATGATAATATTGTGAATTTTCATTTGCTACTTGCAGCGTCTATCTATCTGTAAACTTCAAAGACATCCCTCGTATGGAAGTTACAATACATACAATAAAAGAAAAATATTTCAACTTCCATTATCTCAAAACTACTTATTAGGCCTTAAACTAGTCTGGCTCTGAGGTGCAAATTTTCGACCAAAGTCACGGCGCTTGTATCTACGATGACGCACACAGCCTACTTTGCGTTGGACCTCGGGGTGAAACGGGGTCACGGAGCAGAAAAAAAACTTTTTTTGAGAATCACGATGCCTATGTATTCCGCGTTTCCATTTTGTTTCATTTTTTTTTACTTCCTACGCGATATATTTGTTATAGTGGCCTTCACACATTTCCTTAAGGCGACCCACATTGGAAATGTCAAATATTTGCTCGCTATTGGAAGAAAGGCAGACAACTGCGTAAATTATCTGAAAAACAACAGACCGATTTGTGTTACATTTCGGTAAACATTTGCAGATGATACGGAAACTGGGGCTAGTGAAAAAACAAATACGTGCGTAAACGCTGAATAATTATACAAATAATAGAAGTATGAGTCTTGGCCTTCACGTTCATCTCAATATTCCGTGAAAATTTCACTTACAAATGGGAAGATGTGTATCCTAAAAGTTTTGGTACAAAATATTTATCGTATTTTTTTTTTAATGAATCGGCATCAGTGACGTCACTCCTGCTTATGACAAGATATTTGAGGTTATGGACTTATTACGGTAGCTGTGACAGTGGCATTTAGAAGAATCTGGATTCTACACTAATTTTTCCTGGCCAGTGCACAAACTATCCAGTTTATATCGACATCTCGGCAACATTCCATAAGAAACTGGTATTCTGACTGGAAATATTCCATCTGGTCCAGGAAGTATCTTTGCATCTGTCGGAAAAAGCTATTTCGGTCCTTTCTAAGGACGCTTTTTAATGACCTGCATATTGCCAGATCCAAAATTGCATCAAAAATTGTTTGACCATTTTTTTAAACAAATTTTAGAAATTCCTTTTTCCTCTTTTTCGGTTTTTTGTCATTCCAAATGATTAATTGTGAATTTTTCTCCAAGTTGGGTACTTTATTTTGAAGGTTCATTTATACCATTTATGTATGAAAAATAAAATCTCTCAAATGTTCACCACGACTGGATTTACAGACGTCCACGCGATGGTCGAAATTTTCAATGACATTTTGCAACATGGTCAGTTCTATGGCTTTTATCTCGGCAATGATGTTGTTTTTGAGTTCTTGGAGGGTGGCTGGTTTGTTGACGTAGACTTTGCTTTTCAAATATCCCCATAAAAAGAAGTCCAAGGGAGTCAAATCGCACGATCTTGGTGGCCATGGCACATTTCCTCTGCGCGAAATCACGCGATCACCGAAAAAGGACTGCAATCGATGGATATTGACGTTGGTTGTGTGGCATGTTGCACCGTCTTGTTGGAAATAAACATCGTCCGTATCCATTCCTTCAAGTTGCGGCAAAAAATAGTCCTCTATCATCACGTGATGCGGAGCAAACTGGTCCTCGAAACGCCCAATTCTTGGGATCGACGCGTTGTTGATTGTTCCGGATCGTCTCTCACACTCTCCTTCACAACAGCAATATTTTCCGGTGTGCGAACGCTCCTTGGCCGGCCAAAGTCTGGCAGATTTGCCACAGAACCTGTTGCCTCGAATTTACGCACCAGACGACCGATGGTTGTTTCGTTTGGGCGGTTGTTGCGACCGAAATGTTCACGAAGCGCGCGAAACGTTTTTTTTATTTTTGCACCATTTTTGTAGTGCTCTTGAATAACTTTAATGCGGTCTTCAATCGAATACGACTCCATAGCGATCAATGGTAGACATTCAACTAACAAAATGACATGTCGGTGACAGAAAACAAAGATGGCGTCTATGTCAAATTGACGTTTACTTTCCTGCGTCCCTATTGGACAACCAGTTACAAAGAAACGAAAATCATATGTTGCCAAAGTTTTGTTAGTGGTATCTTCAAAAAATTACACAAAATCCGAAATTTGAATTTGAATTTTTCTCGAAATGCCATTCAGAATTTCCACAATAATCATTTGCGGGCAGAAGAAAATCCCTATGACGTAACCGAAACCTATTTCCAACACCAATTTTCGGTTAAGGAATTATTGGCAACCACGTTATTGGCCCATTCTTCTTGCCGGGACGACTTGACGGATAGACTTACCTCAATTTTCTTCAACAACAATTGCCTTTGCTGCTTGACGATGTTCCGTTAGTAAAAACAAACAATATGTGGTACATGCATGATGGCCTGTTATTTCGCCTAAGCTCACTTCCCCTTCCTTCCAGTGACCGAGATGGACGCGGGCAGCTCCCCAGCTTCCGCCTGCCCGAATTCCGGCACCCCACCGCCCTCCGCCGAAACTTGTTCGCCGATCATCTCGGCGGACCGCAGCAGCGGCGACTCGGGAGTATTTTCCACGACAGCAAACACGACTGCAACCACCGCAACCACTGACGGGGAGGGAGATGCTAGGAGCGATTGCTCGTCGCCCGGTTGCAAGTACCTTTGCCCCATATGCGATACGATGCTGACCTCGCAGCACGAGTTTACGCTCCACATCAGGTCCCACAACAATGAGGAGGAGAAGAACGGGGGATACGTATGCAGGATATGCGCCAAGGTGCTCAGTTCCAGCAGCAGTCTCGATAGGTAAGTACAAAGACATTGGAAAGACCTTTTGAATGATATGTCACAAGCCTATAGTTTCCATTTAACCTCAAGAGTTACAACACAATAACCCTCACTCTTGGGACTAGAACCCCTACAACCCAGCTTGGAAAATTTGATCATTCAAGCAAATTACATAGCTTTAACACACTTCCTCTTTTGATAAGTCGTCTTTCTTGCAGGCATGTTCTGGTCCACAGCGGCGAACGGCCCTTCCACTGCAAATACTGCGGCGACACTTTCACCACCAACGGCAACATGCACAGGCACATGCGGACGCATTCCCACAAAGCAGAAAGCAACTACGAGTCTGACGGAAGCACCGACAGTGGCAGTTCCAAAAGCACGGAATTCAACAACAACAAGATCGACAAGCTTGCTGTCAAGCGCAAACTGGAACCGTCTGACAGCCCCACAATCAAGCGACCCAGAGACTCCTGCGAAGAAGACGAGGACCAGGGCTTCAAATGCCCCGTCTGTGAAAGAACGGACTTCCACTCCGCCGCGATTTTGCAGACTCATCTCGAAGACAACCATCCCGAGTATCCCGCTAGGTGCAACCAATGTCACCAGGTGTTCCTGAACAATAAACAGCTGTCCACGCACAAAGAGGCTGTCCATGAGAACAGTCTGTCCAAACATCCTGTTGTCGGGTTCAAGAATCTGACATTCGTGGATTTCTCGAGTGAGAAATTTCCTCATATAGCTCGAAGAGAATGTGAAATGAATCTACACAAAGCCTCTAGCGGGTTAAAGTTCCAGTGCAAGAAGTGCACCAGAGCATTTCCTTGCTCAAACTCCTTGGAGATCCATGAGAACTGTTGTGTCTCTACCGAGCATCAGAACGGTCTAGATTTGACAGCTATATCCCAACCTCAAATCAGGCGCATGGAGTTCTTCTCCAGACTCAACTTGGTTGACAACTCTCCTGAGAAACTCGCACCTCCTCCTCTCATACCTCCTCCAGTTTCTAACAAGTTACGAGAACAGCTCGTGAAAACCATAGATAGCAACAAAGATCTGGCTGACATCCAGTCTATCTTAACGAACATCAACCTTCAGCAACTCCAAGCCAAACCTGCTTACATTCCACCAAAACAAGAGACCTCTCAAGATTCTCATAAGAACGAGGAGGAGGAGTCCCAAGATCTCTTCGCTGTTGAGTTCAGGAAGATGAAACTTCGCGGCGAATTCCCTTGCAGGCTTTGCACAGCAGTATTTCCCAATCTAAGAGCCCTGAAAGGCCACAATCGGGCTCATCTAAATGGTACTACTAATGGCACCTACCATTGCAACATGTGCCCACACTCCTCGATAGACAAGGCTGCTCTTATCCGACATATGAGGACGCATAACGGCGATAGACCTTACGAATGTTCTCTTTGTAACTATGCTTTTACAACCAAAGCTAACTGTGAGAGACACCTAAGGAATAGACACGCTAAGACCACTAGAGAAGAAGTGAAGAAATCTATCATCTACCATCCATCTGAAGATCCTACCAATGAAGACCTTAACAAGCTTGCTGCTAAAGACGACGTCAAGAAGCTACATGAGATCACTCCTGAGAAGATCCATTGTTCCACTCCGAAGATGTCAGATATGATTTCCGAGTCTAAGTTGCATCTTATACCAGATCTACAAGCTCTCAAACCAACGAAGATTTTCGCTAACATCAACGACATCATTCGCAATGAGAATCTAAAGACCTTGAAGGAGCAGAAGCTATTTCCAAATGGTGTTGCGCCTCTGTTTCCACCAAATTATCACTTTCCTCACCAAAATCTTCCTACCAAGATTCAAGTCAAGAACCTCGAAACTCTGAAGGAAACTTCCAACACGTACAATGAAGAATCTGAAGAGGAATATGCCGAAGAGGAAGAGCAGCCCCTAGACTTAGTTCTCGATCTCAGTAAGAAGAAGCCGGTTCAAGAGGATGTGGAAGAAAACGAAGAAGAACATGATGATGAAGCCCCACAAGATTTGACGAAGAAATCTTCTCCTCCGGAGCCATCTAGTCCTATAACATCTCAAGTCCCAAACATGGGACATCTCTTTGCTCAACAGTTACTGAAAACTCCTCCAAAGATTGATCCTGCTGCTCTTTATGCTCAACTGGCTCTATACAGAAGTGGCTTTCCAGCGTTGCCGAACTGGCCAATTGGCTTCCCTGTGAACCCGCTTTTGTTCCCAACATTACCTCCAACCCTACCTCAAAATCCCCAAGACATCAAAGAACGCATGCAGCGGTTCCAACTATGCGGCGGCTCAATGATCTCGGAAGAAATGAAGAAGCTGCAGCAATTAAGATCACATCCAGTACCGACCTCAATACCTCCACCTCCACCATATAATGGAGTGAAGATCGAAACACCTCAGCCTGAAGTGAAGATAGAAACTACAGTACCAAAGATGGAAGAGATGAAACCTCTAAGTTTGAACGTGGACAACAACTTTAACGAAAACCTGTCAAAGTTGCAAAGTCCTTTACCACAAAACAAACCCGATATGATGCAGTCTCCGAATTCTGTGAAGATGGTGATCAAAAATGGAGTTCTGATGCCTAAGCAGAAACAGAGGAGATACCGAACTGAGCGACCATTCACTTGTGAACATTGTTCAGCAAGATTCACTTTGAGATCGAATATGGAGAGGCATATCAAACAGCAACATCCGCAGTACTGGTCTCAGAGGCAGAGGAGCAATATTGGAAACCCAGGTAACTTGATTTTATGAACAACTAAGATAGCTTCCTACAGTATTTTCTGCAATTGGATGACAGTTCTTTAACATGTCAGGTATTTATGTGATCGATGTTTTTTCTTTCTTTCAGGTAGGAAACCGCAAACCATACCCCTGAAACCAAACTACTGCGACCTCAGCGTCCCAAACTACGAGGCGCCCAAGATGCAAGATTACCATGATACCAAAGATATCCTGAACGAGAAACTAAAATACGCAATTTTGGCACAACAACTGCGGACGTCACAAAACGTGAACCAAGACTACAGGCAAGACGAAGATGACGAAGACGAAGATTGCGATCTTGTGATAGACGAAAACGACGATAAAAAGACTGAAGATTTCGCTGAACGGCAACACGATGAAGAAGAAGATGATCAGAAGGAGAGCAAGGGAATAAGAAATGAAGAAAGTCAGGATTTGGTGCCGGTTTCCAGGCTGTTGGACAATGCTTCTCAACAGCAGTTCAAGGAATTCTTCAAAAGAGACGGGGAAGAACACGAAGTCGGGTTAGTCAGTGAGGAAGATGAGGAAGGATTGGTGGCAAGTGGAAGCACTAGCGAGGGGAACATATCAGGCACTGACGAAAACAGGTAGGTGACTTTAATATCCCTCCAAAAGTTTTTTTACCCTACGAAAGAATGGTCTTCAGGAAATGCTCTATGTTGTTCTTTACAGGTCAGAATCAGAGACGACCAATCAACCAGTCAAAAAGAAATCCGCCTATTCGCTAGCACCTAATCGAGTCAGTTGTCCCTACTGCAGCCGCAAGTTTCCATGGACGTCATCGTTGCGTCGCCATATTTTGACCCACACCGGTCAAAAGCCTTTCAAGTGTAGTCATTGCCCTCTTCTATTCACCACCAAGTCAAACTGTGACCGCCATCTGTTGAGGAAGCATGGGAACGTTGCCAGCACTGTACCCAATGATTCACAGGTGAGCTAAATATTAAAGATCTCAAATGTACAGTTTCACCTAACAACTGCGAGAATAAAAATCAGTAACCAGCGTTTTGGTTCCAGCCCAACAACTACATGATGCGCAACGTCCCAGAACGTCCGTTCAAGTGCTCCAGCTGTCCCAGCAGTACTTTCTCAACCTACTCGAACCTGAAGAAGCACATCAGCTGCAAACACGCAACGAACGCCCAAGGCGATGACATTAAGGCCCAAGGTTACGAAGCGGGCAGCTCAGAAGACGAGAAGATCTCGAATACGGAGAACGAGCAAGTCCATTATGCTCCTAAGGGACAGGAACCGACGGTGGTTGCAAATTCCGACCTGCCCTTCAAGTGTCACCTTTGTGAAGGGTCGTTTTCTGAGAGGCAGGATGCTCTGGACCACATCAAGGTATATGTCTTTCATATTTTTTATTTTGCCTACAATTGGACTTAGGCCTGTGTTTATAGTCACCACTTAAGTGTTTACAGAAGCTTTAGGACATAACTACACCTAAGAATAGATTTGACATTTTATTTGGGGTCTCTCGTGAGAGTACAAAGAAAAACTGGGATCTAGGTGCCCATACACTCCCTTAGACGGAAGATGTTACGTCATGCCCGCTGCCGTTGCAAATATTGTACATGTAGCTTATACATAAGTTGTTTATTTTGTTTCAGGACAAGCATGCGTCTGAATACGATCTGCTAATGTCAAAAAACGCATTGGATCCTAACGCAACAACACCAGACGAAAATCCTCACCAAGAAGACGAAGAGCATGAGCAACGCGGCAAGTTTCCAGACTACTCGAATCGCAAAGTGATCTGCGCGTTTTGTATGCGCAGATTCTGGTCTGCGGAAGACCTGCGCAGACATATGCGCACGCACACCGGAGAACGGCCTTTCAGGTAAGAATGCGATTCTTGTAGATTATAGCTCATCAGAAATTTTCGTGAGTAGATCTAATGGACAGTTAATTTAGAGAAGGAACACTTGGTAAATTCACGTCAGTAATCGTGACGTAATCACCAATCGGTGGGCGCTGTTGAGGATTACTCGGCAATTACAAATTTACACTTACTAATTTGCTAATCGACGCTTGACACATGACACTAACATTATCTTCTCTTCTTTGCAGTTGCGACATTTGTCGGCGGCGCTTCACCCTGAAGCACAGCATGCTACGGCACCGCAAGAAACATAACCTCAACAATCACAATTTCGAAAACGACACCAACAACAGCGACGAGGACGGCAACAACGCATCCCCCATTTATCCGAAACAAAAGACGGACGAGAGTGACTGTAACGAGGGCGCAGGTGACTTGATCAGTAATCTTTTGGGGCTTAGAGATCGTTCGATCATTGACAAGGTGCTCACCGCGTCTGCGGATGATGCTGCCAAAATGTTGGGGGTTAGGAACGGGGCGAAGGAATGAGGGAGGGTTCTTGAAATTGAAGATGGAGCTGATGAAGATCATTGAAAATGTGATTACAAGGTTTATATGTCAAGGCTTGTTTTTTCTGAGCATCAATTAATGACGAATCATGCAAAACACTTCTGTTATCAATAAATTTCAAATCTAACGTTTTTTTTTTATCTAGCATGCTTATTTTTCGGAATTAACTCATAATCGACACCTGCCGAGTCTAAAGTAGCGACAGTGATCTTACTTTCGAGCCATTCCAAAATAATCTTGAATAAACCTATGAAAAATGATTTTAGGTTTATCCAGGATATTCCATGTACATTATTTCGAATAGGTTAAGATTAATGTTATATATTCAGTCTAGTCAAAGGTTTGAACCAACGAAATAGCATAAGATGCCCTATATACAGGGTGTCCCAAGTATTAGTGACAAATGGGTAATCTAAAAATATAAGAAGCTCTACACTATTTCCAACGATACTTAAAGACATTCTGACGTCTATTCAGTTGCCTCCTTGTGTTATTAATTTTGTACCGTTGGCGGCCAACGAATGTATTCAGACATCCAAAAAGGGATCTGAAAGAAATTAACGTCATCTATGAGATAAAAGCAGAACCAAACAAAACGGTTAAAATTTGGGAAACTCTGTATAAACTGTAAAAGTATAAGAAAAATGAGTATAGACTAGTTTCATTGTATCATATTGATTTTGTGTTGGAAGCTTATTAACATTTAATATATTTTTGTACATATGAATTTGTAATACGGTCTAGGTATACCAAAAATATTTATTTCACGTATTCTCTCGCTGATTTTAAAAATCGAGCGAGTAATACAGCTCCCGAGTCTTACGTACTTTTGCCTTTTATTATAAACACGTGTCTTACTATTTGCCTTTAGACTATTGTTACATATATGTATTGTAAAATATAAGCAATATTTTATTCCTAAGATTAAATGTTCTTGTAAATATGTCCGTTTATCCAAAGACGAAATATCTAATTTGAGCAAATAACCTGCCATTAGTAACTTCCAAAGATTTCTTCTATGTAATTTTGTTGATACTTTTTGAATTTTATTTCTAGTTTTCGTGGCGGTTTTTTGTTCGAATTGATTATTCCAAGTAGGCTTAGTATAGGTTTTAAACACCTGTCAAAACTAGTTTTTAAAATGAGAAATTTTGCTTAAGTGTGAATTTAGGCAAACGTAGCACACCTAGATTGCTGTGAATTTCTTCAAATGTCTTATATCCACCACTTTTCATTCCTGATTTTTTTACATTTTACTAAATTTTTGGAAATTGGTTTAAAGAATTTCACAATAAATAAAAAAGTCGAGAAAAAACATTTTTTGAACAATTTCAAGCCAATATACTTAAATTGCTTTTTTTCAAAAAGCAATTAAAATGGATCAAAAACAACATAGCTATCGTACTTTAGTCAAGTGGTACATAATATAACTCATTTGAACATTTATATATTACAATCACCCTTTTTAATTTTGGTGCACTTTTTGATTAGTATTGTATTTCCACATATTCACGCTGTGTCTTAAATCAAGTAGCTTTCGAACAACGTCTAGATCGACGTCGGTCTCGACGATAACGTCAAAAGCATTTTTAGCAATTTTTGGAAGCAATTTGAGTGAGTAAAATAGGTTTTAAAATAACTATTGTACTGAACGTGTAATACCCAACTTAGTGTAAATCGCGAGTTTGTTTTTTCTTTCCGTTTCACTAAACTTATGCCATATTTATTTAGAGTATTGTAATTTAGTTATATGGAACGTTCATTTTATTATATGGTTGTAACCGAATATTTCTTTGAAATAAAATTATTAAATACTACTGACAATTATATTCAACGTTAACAAGCTATTTAAAAAATGGTACGTGCGACAAGGGACAATGGTCAAAGGTTTATAAGTTTGTTCCAATACAACCGTTTTATAGTCTGCAACATCATTGCATGCAAGCTTTTAAAGTTGCTAGATGATATTTTGTCTGCAAGTCATATTGCAACTTTCTATGATACCAACCTCAGTGAAAAACTACCAGAACATACATAACCTATGTGTAATTAACTTATCCAATAATATGATGACAGTAACTTTCATACTGATTTTTTAAAATTAAAACCAAAGCGCCAAGCCAAACTAACAAGATATATATCAACCAAGCGGCTATTAGAAAAGGCATAAGATGGCATTCACAAAACCCAGCTTTGAACAGTTGATCAACGCCCTTTATTCTGTAAACACGCATGAGCTAACAAATTCCATATTTCAGCTCTCTCTCTCAAAACCAGAACTGTTAGAGAGAACCGAGCCGGTTCCGAATTAACTCAGAATTTGTTGGAACAGAGAAGTGCCAGTTACGGCAAAGTTCCATTTTCTGCTGGAACGGTAATTTCCATAGTTCCTAATATTATTGTTAGAACAGCTTTATTTACAGTTTTCTATTATGGTGAATGTGCTATATATTGGTACAGCAGTATGTTATCTTGATAGTGAATCCACCATGTTTTTAAGATATAGTTAAAAGAGAGTCCATTAATGGTAACAGTACCCCATACAATAGTAATTATGGACCCTAGAGCTGCTGGAAAAATCATTGCAAGATGGTAAAAATGACGAACGTGCTCGTCTTTTATCATTCTAAAAAGTGAAAGACCTTCCATCAGTCAATGCATTAACATCACAGAGAGACGTGAGAGAAATTATGTATTCAACCAGTGGAGTAACTTTGCTAGTTCATAGTTTCGGAATATAAGAAAAAACTCAAGATGGAAAAGTATTGCTAAAAAAAAAGCTAACGACACGCGGTGTTCCCAAGCGGTCACCCATCCAAGTACTAACCGCGCCCGACGCTGCTTAGCTTCGGCGATCAGACGAGAGCCGGCGTTTTCAGCGTGGTATGGCCGTTACCTGATAGAATTAGTTGCGTAAGTAGTAAATAAGCAGTCATCTCCCAGATTGGGAAAATCGGATATAAAAATATAAATTAATGTAATGTATTGTCATCCTAACATGAGTTTCATCCAAACAATCTCCAATGTATCTGACACACCATTCCCGTACAATATTGTTGATTGTTGAAACTCCTTTGTATATTTATTAGTAGTAATATGCAAAAAATAGAGGAACATACAAAAACGTATGCATTCGCCATCTACAGATGTAATCTTCAACAACGACATGAAACAACAAGTTCACTAGGAGGATGGGAACAGAAAACTGTATTATATTATTTATAACTACCGTCTCCTTTAGTACTTTGGCCGAACCATAGATGGCGCTATAAAAAACTAGTGATGGAAGATTTTCTTATTCTATTTTGTAATCACTGTAACAAACAAGGAATTAATGTTTTGAAATTTGAGTAGGAATGCATATGTTCATGAGAAATCTAGTTGATTTCAAGTGTTCTATAGTAGCAGTGTTTGAATCAAATTACAGAAACATGCATTGTCGTTTTCGATGTACCAATGAACATTTTCACTCTGAGCCTGATAAGTAATTTCACATGCTAGGTATCTAGCCAGTCTATAAACATCAGGTCGTACTCCTAGCCATGGGCGCCCATTGGAGTGACCACATTTGAATAGTTGCATGCCCCCCTCCTCGATTTTGCTATCAATCATTAGTATCATTCGACAGAGTAAAGAAATATACAAAGAATTATTATATATTTCATTCATTCGTGTTCTGAATCAAATATGACCCCCTGAATGCTTTGATGAACAAAAACCGGTACAAGCTTTTTGCGTTGCAACTTTGCAAACCTCCGAGAGTAACCACACTGCTAGTCTAAAATGAGAGAGAGATCCTGACCCCTCTGCGGGCCCCTATACCGTATTTCACATTAACGTTATAGGACTTCTCCCGTTACTACTAGCATGAGACAGTGATTACAGAGTAAGTAAAAGAAGCTCCCATCACTATTTATTTGCTATCGCCATCTATACAATGGAAGGCGATATCAGCCGATAACAAATACTGCTACAGAAACCTTTCTGCGTCAGATATAGTATCAAATGTTAAATGCTAGATGGTGCCACCGTAAGAATATGTGCGATATATACGATTCAATAGTTTAATTTCTGCACGGTCACTAACATAGCTGGAAATGTTCTCTTCGACCGTTTGTTATGCTTTAATTGCACACCAGTAGATACCGCCAGCGATGTTTTATAATTATTTTCTGTTTTTGGGAATCAATTTCAATTTTCAATGATTTAAAGTTGGCGACATGGCAACTAAAAAATGTCTGCACTATATTGTTCTTTAATACTAAGCTATAGTGATCGATTTTTAAGGAATAAGAACTACCAGAATACAAAACTGGTGCTGAAAAGTGCTACAAAACCATGTGGATGGATGCTCGGCCTAACTTCCTGCAAAAGTAACTCCTTGATTTTATCCTGTGGTTCGTAGGACTCCATTGTCTAACCGAATCCAACCACAACTATGTTTTGGAGTTTTGACATGAAAAACCTATTTGATTTGAAGTGTTTTATAGTAGCAGTGTTTGAATCAAATAACATTTTCACTCTGAGCCTGAGATAACGTAATCTTACACTCCTGGTATCTAGCCAGTCTATAAACGTCAGGTCGTACTCGTAACAATCGCTAAGCATTATTTAACTTGGATATTTTCAATGAACTCCGGAAAAGAATGTCTTCCAACAGCGCCAATAACAAAAACGAATGTCTATAACATAATATCATTAGAATCATTCTGCAGAGTGAAGAAATACACAAAGAATTCTGATATCTAAAATGAGAGCGAAACGCTGGCCCCTTTGCGGGCCCGTTACTACTTGCATGAGACAGTGATTGCAGAAAAAGTAAAAGAATCTCCCATCACTATTTATTTGCCATAGCCATCTATAAAATTGAAGGCGAACTATGTCAGCCGATAACAAATCAGGCTACAGAAACCTTTTTGCGTCATATATAGTATCAAAAGTTAAAGGTTAGATGGTGCCACCGTAAGAATATGTGCGACATCTATGAGTCAGTATATAATAATTAATATTTTGTACTTTTGACAAGAATTGCATATGTTCATCTATTCGATTTGAAGTATTTTATAGTAACACTGTTAGAATCAAATTACACAAACATGCATTGACGTTTGCGATGTCTCAATGAACATTTTGAATCTGGGCTTGAGATTAAGTAATTTTTCACGCTAGGTATCTGCCAGTCTATAAACATCAGCCTATAAAATATGATATACATATATAAGAGAGATTACTGAGAAAGTACCTGTTGCCGGTCACTAAAAATAATGAAAACATAACAAAGAACATTGCAGGTTTTTTTGATGATTTGATGGAAAGGTTCTTTATTTAACTATAATGTTGGACTACGATATGTTGGGTGGACCTGGCGACGTAGTCCAAATCGACGAATCGAAGTTGGGTATTTTTATATGCAATGACCGCTGGTGCTTTTTGTATATTTTATATTACGCGAGCCGCTGGTAGTTTTTCCACTGTTTCGGCACATACTGTTCAAAATTTCATCTAATTGTCAGTAAATATTGGAACAACATCTCATAAAACAAGCCATTTACAATGAATTAAGACTTTTATTTTGCAAATAACCCCATTTTTTACGTATTTCTCCCAAAAAAGTTACAACTTGGCAACAATGGACATAATTATATGTCAAGATGAACGTTATAAAGTGGCCACTGAAAATTGTTTGTACTTTCAAATGTTTCTTATAAACGCAAAAACTTTTATCTCGTTGAAAATACGCGAAAAAGAAAATTGTTAAGGAGTTTCAAGAAGACATTGGCAAATCACATCAGAACACCTCTACACAGCTTACCAAGCAAATACCATCATTCACGGTATGTATTTTGAACTGTTATTTTAGCTTATTACACAGCTAGTTTAGAACCTTTTTTTTGCAAAAACAACGATCTTTTACAGTTTCACATCTATTTTCTTTGGTACTATTCAGTGTATGTTATATTCTTATAATTTAGAGCATCCTTTTGTTCAGAAAGCAAAAAACTAGCGTATAAAACAGTAATCTATTCTAGAGTATTGCCACCAAAAATGCCACTTTGAAGTTCCTTAAGGACAAAATGACATCTCGTAAAGGTTACATCCTAACCTTTCATTTTGAAATAGGAAATGAAATATTTGCGATATTCGCTAAAGTATAGTCTTACATAACTTTCTTGGATTCAAGATTACAGTTACGCCCCCAGCGGTCATTCCGGAAACTAAAAAATATTTTCCAGGTTTTTCTCGTGGCCGTTTTATACAGGGTGACTTTGAAGTTGAGTCATTAATTTTCAGATAATGATTGTAGAAGGAAGATAAACCAAAATATGTGTAAAAATAAAAAAAAAATTAAAAAAAATGTTTACCTTGTTTTATAAAGTATCCTCTCGATAAGTATTTCAGTGCGGACCCGTATTTGATCGTGAGGTCTTGGAGCACCGGCATGCCGTCCCCTGTGAGGTCTTAAGTCACCTGATTCACGAGCCGGTTGTACTACATTAACAAAGGCACGAGGGGTTGGTTGCACTCGATTGGGAAACCGATCCGCATAAACATGTGCCATTTTTTATTTCGTTTGAGCCACGCAACAGACACCACGCGTTACCGACTGACACTGACTGTATACAACTGAATAAAATAATTGTAAAAACATCGTTCCAAATTCTTTCGCTTTTTTGTTTCCGATGCGATGAACCGATAAGGCGGATTATATCCGTTGTTGCCAAACACGAGCACATAATATTATTATTGAGACAGGGCGGTACTCAAACTTCCAAAGGGCTATAACTTTGTTACTTTAATTTTACCAGAAAAAT